AATAGGAGACAAGTCCAAGCTTTCTGTCCTCTTCTCAGTGTTTAATGATCTTTGAAGCACCCCATGGAGCCTGGCAGCTGCCCAGGAGAGAGAGGGAAACATGGAGCTATTTGCCCAAAGCATTACACTACACATGCACAGAGCAGGATCTAGACCACATATATCACTTGACACCCTACATAATGTTGCCAGTGGATTAATCCAAATTGTCCTCTTGTATGAGGGATATCACTTTTAAAATTGGTGATCTATGTTTTTTATTTTTTATTTATGGAGTAAACTTCATTGGCCAAATTGTCCTCTCAGACTTTATATCAATGCAAGTTACAGCTCATATAATGTGCTTATTATATCTCCTTTTTTAATGTCATTCCTCTGGTCCTTGCTTCAGAAGGTCTGTAGCTTCTAGCCCCTGTCTACTCAGTAACCATATGCAAGTTTCTCTCTATCTCAAAAACTTATTATTTTAGTACACCCAAATACTTTTTTTAAAAAGGATGAATTAAAGTGTGTGTTCTGTCTATGCAGGAAACAGGATGTCAGCACTCTGCTAATTGCAAGCATAGCACATTATAAAATATGCTAATAAGAAATTTATCTCCACTGAGCCACAAAGTGCAACTGAAAAATTAAGGGTGAAAATATAAAATTGGTGGAAAGGGCATAAACATATGACAGAGAGCTGGGCTGCATTGGTCTGTAATTGCTACTGTCTTGGGTTCAGTCCTGCTCTTGTTCCAATCTGTAACAAAACTGTAATAGAACCAGGTAGTTGCCTTGGTCTGCAATTGAGAACAAATGAAAACTGTTAGCAATGTGATGTTTAACAGGTCTAATGAAATGCAGCACAGACATCAAAATGTCTCAGGAGATGGCTCAGATATTCAGATAAATGGGACAATAGATCTAAATGGGCACTCATCTATTTGTAAAATATTCTATATGAATAGAGGGAAGTAAGCATGTCAGATAAATGAGACGTTTAATCGGATTCATTTGGTTATTAGAAATGAATAACCAAGATGATGTCTAGTAAACTTAGCTACAGTGACATAGCTACAAGCTGTCTCCCAATCTGACCTGCTATAATTCACCTTAAAAGTCAGAGAGCTGCACCAACCAAAGGAGTTCTGCAAAGCACTGATGACTGGGGTGCTGAGGGATAACATGTCCAGCCCCCTCTCAACAGCAAGCTGTGGTATGATGAACAGTTGAAGTCCTATTTTAACTCCTCATTGCATTGCAGCTCACTAGTAAGAGGGGACTGGACACGCCATCCTTCAGCACTTCATTCGCCAGCATGATAGAATTCTGCTTTGGTCAGGCTTCACCTGGAATGCTATGTCCAGTCCTGGGCACCATTGTTCAAAATGGATGTTGGCAAGCTGGAGCATATTCAGAAGAAGGCAACCTTAGTAAAAGGTCTGGAAACCATGTCTTATGAGGAGCAACTTAAGGAGCTTGGTATTTTTAGCTTGGAGAAGAGATGGTCAAGAAGTGATATGATAGCCCTGTTTAAGTATTTGAAAGGGTGTCATGTTGAGGAGGGAGCTAGCTTGTTTTCTGCTGCTCCAGAGAATAGGACCCGGAACAATGATGCAAACTACAGGAAAAGAAAATCCACCTCAATATTAGGAGGAGAACAGTGAGAACAGTGAGAACTGTTCAAGAGTGGAACAAGGTGGAGTCTCCTTCTTTGGAGGTCTTTAAATAGAGGTTGGATGGCCA